TGTCGCCCCCCGCTCGCCGTCCCCGCAGCCCCGCCCGACTGGGGCCGCGCGGGCTGTGCCGTGGGGGTCCTCCGCCCCGCGCCCGGGAGCGCACCCCTCTAACCCTTTGGCCTCTGCCAACCTCCTGGGTCTCCTGTCACTGTCCCGGCGCCTCTGCCCCACCCCCCGCAGCCTTGGACTCATTTCCGACCCACATATGCGCCCCCTCCCCCCGCTACCAGGGAGCCCCGGCCAGCCTCTGACCTGGAGCGCTGGGGACACCTCCGGGCCCCTGCCAGGGCGCTTCCGTTCTCTGGGCCTCAGTTTACCCCGCTGTCGAGTGGGGGTTAAAGCCAAAGCGGGCTGGGGACGCCCGAGGCTGTGCGCTCTTGTTGGGAAAGGGCCGCCTCGCGCGTGCCAGGGCTGCCGGTCATCTCGGCCCCAGGCTCGGTCCCCCGAGGTCCCGGGTCCTTCCCGCCCGGCCGGGCTGGGCGCTGCGGGTGGGGCAGGTGCAGTCTCCAGGCGGCCCCTTTCCCGAGTGCTGAGCCCCGCTCCCGGCCTCGGTTTCCCGGTCACGGTGCAGACGCGGAGGCTGGCCGGGCTGGCTCGGCCCGGTAGAGGCGGCCGGGGCGCCGGGGCTGGGCACGGGTGGGAGGCGGCGACAGCGGCCATCTTGTCGCCCGGGGCCGCCCAGAGCCCACCCCCGCGGCGGCCTCCCTCCCGCGCGCCCCCCCCCCTGCTCCCTGGCAACCCGCCCCCCCCCAGCCTCAGCCTGCTCGCACGGTCGCCATGGGAACCGGATTCTTCGGGGCCGGGAACAGATGTGCCGCCTTTGTCCTTCCCGCTCCCGCTAGTGCTGGCGGAGGGGAACCTGCACCTCCCCGAGTCGTGACCCGGGGGCTGCTCCGCTGAGCCCCTCTGTCCCCTGCCCCGTGAGCAGGGCGAGCTGTCCCTTTATCCCGTTGGTGGCCGGGGGTCCTGCCGGCTGCAACTGGAGTCTCTGGGGCCACAGTGGGCCCTCCTGTCCCCCTGACGGGGAAGACGGGGGCAGCTGGGGTCTTGCCGGAGTGAACTGCATGGCCTCGGTTTCCCCATTCCTCCCAGGGGAGCCTTCTCTTTCCTGGGCAGGGCTCTCAGCCAACATTACCTTGCCGGGCCGGCCCCACCGGCTGGGGAGGTGCTTGTGACACTGACACTGACACACGCACGCGCGCGCGCGCGCGCGGCCACCTCCCCTGTTTTAAAGACGGGAAGGTGGAGATCCACGGAGACCCCCGCCCGTGCCCGCCAGGCACTGGTCTGAGCGGCGTGGGGGCTGCCCCCACCTCTGTATGAGTCACTGCCCTGTGTGGGCTTCTCATTTCAGGAGGGAACCGGGGGGCTTATTTTCAGTGGCTCCTGTGGGGAGGGGTTGGCAGAGCTGGAGCTGAGGCGGCCCTGTCCCTCCAGGTTCCCCGTCCCAGCCTCAAAATGCAGCCCACCGCCACCATGGCCACTGCCAGCGCCACCACTGCCACGGTCGCCCTGACGTCGTCATGGGAGAATGTCACTGGTCGCCCCACGGTAAGTGAGGGGGATGGGGTGGAGAGTGGGGTGATAGATGGTCGTCAGAGTCCCAGCCGGCAGGACCCTGATGCTCCCCGTGCGCTGCTCCGCAGACTGAGCCCGACCCCATCCTGGACAACTACGTGCTGCTGGTGGTGGTCACGTCGCTGTTTGTTGGAGGCACACTGGTGGTGCTGTCCGGTGTCCTGCTGCTCTGCAAGCGCTGCTGGGAGGTCCACCAACGCTTCAACAGGTGTGAGCCCCGCCCCAGTGCGGGCAGGTGCGGCATGCACGTGGGTGGTGGCCCCCGCTGGCCAGCCAGGGCTGGCTTCTAAGCGACAGGGCACACGGTGTATTGGGGCGGGGTCCTCTGAGCACGGGGTCCTACGGCAGGTGTAGGTGTGTGGCTCCAGGACGCTTGGGGGCCTGGGGCGTGCTGCCTGGGTCCTTTGTCCCATGCCACTCTCTTGCTGTCCCCCCCAGAGCCATGGAGGAAGCGGAGAAGACCACGACTACCTACCTGGACAACGGTGCCCACCCGGCCCAAGGTGAGGAGCGCCACCTGCCACCCCGCCCGCCCGTGCCTGTCTGCCCCTTGACCCCGCCTGCCCCTCGGGCCGCCTGACCGTCTGTGTCTGTCTGTCTCCCCCACCAGACTGGGCGCAGCTCGATCCCGACTCATCTCTGTTTCCTTAACGCCCAGGCGTAGGTGCGCACAGGCGCGTGCTGAGCGAGTGAGTGTGTGAGCGATGAGCGAGTGCCCGCCGCCCCGCGCCCCGGCCACGTGCGCCCGCCCTGGTCAGTCGGCCCGTCCCCACCCTGCCCGCCCACCGCCGCCCCGCCCCGGACCAGGCACGGCCCACCCGGGGCCCACCCTCTCTTGCTGTCCTCGCAGAGCCCGACTTCAGGGCAGAGGACCCCGAAGGCCAGGACACCGAGACCGAGCGCTTCCTGTCCACCAGCGCCATCGGCCGCCGGGTCTCCTTCAATGAGGCCGCCCTGTTTGAACAGAGCCGGAAGGCGCCAGACAAGGGCCGCCGGTAAGAGGGCCGTGGTGCGGGGGCCTGCGGCCCATGGGAGGATGGTGACTTGTCAGTGGTGAGCCTGGGGACGTCTGCACCATAGGCTCAGGCCCCTGCGACCCAGCTTGTTGGAGGGACTGGCCTGTGCCAAGCACCACTCTTTCCGTGCCCTTCCCCTGGCCCAGCAGCAGGGATGGGGCAGAGAGCGGGCAGTGGGCTTGGGGGACCAGCCTGTGAGAGTTGGGGCCCAGCAGGTGCGCTGAGAGGCTGGTTGCTTGCCACAGGTACACCCTGACAGAGGGGGACTTCCACCACCTGAAGAACGCCCGGCTCACCCACCTGCACTTGCCGCCCCTCAAGATCGTCACCATCCATGAATGTGGCTCGGGTGAGGCCAGCTCAGCCACCACCCCCCACTTGGCGGCCACCCCCAAAAGCAGCCTCGCCATCTTCCAGGTGAGCGTGGGGGTGTGGGGTGGCAGCTGGTTTTGTGCACGGGTGGTGGCCTTACAGACTTTGGGACCCCCAGTCCCTTGCCTGGCAGACGGTATCTTACCCACTCTCCAGAGGGGCCCTCGTCTCAGGACGGGTGGGTGGTGGGCGGTGGACGGGAGGCCGACCCCGCATGCCACTCCCCCACCCATGCTCTTTGACCTGTCACTACTTCCTCCTCCCCTCGGCTCTGTCCCACAGCCCCCGGGGAAGGCCCTCACCGGCCGCTCCGTGGGCCCCAGCTCCGCCCTGCCAGGTGACCCTTACAACTCGGCTGCGGGCGCTTCTGACTTTGCAGAGATCAGCCCCTCCACATCCAGTGACTCCGGGGAAGGCACCTCGGTGAGGACCCTCCTGGTGTCCCCCACGGTCCAGAGAACAGGGGGCTCCCTCCCTTCCCTGCCCCCAACTGCAAGACAAAGATCAGCCTGTGGCCTCCCGCCTGCCACAGCCCACCTTGCCCCACCAGGTGCCCACACACAGGAGGAAGAGGGGGCAGGCAGCACACAGGACATGCATGTGCTCACACACGGGTGGGACACTCCAGGCCACTGGAGAGGCATGGCCGGGATGTGCCTCGACCCACCCTCCACCAAGCCATGGGACAAGGAGCCCCTAGACACTCGTTCTGGGAAACCTCCTTCCCCCCCAAAACCTTTCAAGTGTCCAGGTCCTTACCCCGAAAGTGGCAGAGGCCAGGGGGGACAGAAGTGGCCTGTGCCCGGCTGAACCTCTCAGAGGGATGAGACTCTGGCCCTAGGGCTTAGACAGCTCCCAGCTACCAAGCGCCCCAGCTCCTACCTTCTCTGTCCCTCTCTGTGAGCAAGTCCCACATCTCTGTTCAAGTAATGGGTTGGGGGGTCTGGGGCCACCAGTTGGGTCCAGAGAGTGGTCTGTGTGTCTGAGAGCCGTCCCTGTTCCTTTCCAGTTGGACGCAGGTACGCGGAGCACCAAGACCAGCGGGCCTGGGGCTGCAGCAGGGCCTGGGGAGGCAGGCGCGGGCTCAGGGGCGGGCACGGTGCTGCATTTCTTCACCCGCCTGCGCCGCCATGCCAGCCTGGACGGGGCCAGCCCCTACTTCAAGGTCAAGAAATGGAAGCTGGAGCCCAGCCAGCGGGCGGCCAGTCTGGACACGAGAGGTGAGCTGCGACCTCCGGTGGGGAGCAAGGTCCCAGTGGTCCGTCAACTGCCAGGTGCTGTTGGGCAGCCACAGAGCAGGGGTTCTATCTGCACTGCTCATCACCCAGCTCAGGCCCTGCTCCAGTGGGCATCGGTGGACCCCGCTGCCCTGCAGCTGTGTCTAGGGCATCCACAGTAGGTGGTAGATGAGGAAGGCGTCCAAGGCTGCCTGGTCACTGTGGAGTTCCAAAGGCAGGATCGCTCTTCCTGAGCCATCAGGATAGAAGGGGAAGGTGGGTTCTCCAGGGAAGCCCCTCCCTTGTGTCCCTCCCGGGCTGGCTGGAGCATCCTGCAATCACTGGCTGACCTCGGCCATGTCCTTTTTCCTGCCTGGGCTCTGACTTCTGGCTTACAGCAAGGGGGTTGGATGAGACCAAGGCTCAGCGGACGTTTTCTATGAGGCCCCGGGTGGTAACGGTTTTGTCTTTGTGTTCAGACAGCTTCTGTCTCAATTGCTTGGAGCTGCTACTGCAGCAAGAAGCAACCGTGGACAGTACCTGAGGATTGAATCTGACTGTGCCAATAAAACTTTATTTACACAAACAAGCAGCAGGGGCAGTTTGGCCTGTGGGCTGTGGCATGCTGACTTCTGGACTAGATGACAGCAGTCCTTCAATTCTGCAGACCTCGGGTCACGTGGGAACCTGGCTATGGGGCTCCCTTATCCTGAGCTCAAGGCAGGAGCACACGTGTGTGCAGTCGGGGTGAGGCCCCCTGACTGGGAGGCACCAGTAGCAGTAACCATCCCTTCCAGAGAGAGAGAAAGACAGACAGATATCAGCAGGGTGACAGCAGCTGGGAGGGTCTGGGTCCAGGTCAGGCTGCTGTGGCACCTGCTGCCCTGTGGAGCAGGGGGCGGGTCCCTCATCAGGAGAGGTGGGAGAGGGAAGGGACACCCTGGGTGAGGGGAATGCATCCTGGTGGCAGCGGCAACCCCCTTGGTGGGGCCTGCTGCCAGCCCCCTGCAAGGAAGCAGGAGAGTTCTCCCGACCCCGCCCACCTAGGCCGTTACTGGCCCATGGAGGGGACGGCCTGTTTGCCTGCCCTGTTCCAGCTGAGGGGGGCGCAAATTTTGAGATGGGGCTGTGATTTCTGACGGTAATTAGTCAGATGCAGCACAGAGGCACCATAAACCTGTTTTCTGAGTGACTGCTCTCTCCTCCCCGAGGCCTGCCTGCGAAGCTTCTACCTGGCTGCTCTGTTGGGGCAGGGTCCTGGACCAGGGCCAGGGGGCCACAGGCAGGGGTGGGGCAGCCCCCCTGCACTCCCCCTGCCAGGGTGGAGCTGGCAGGAGAGGGCACCTCTCTCTCCCTCACCTCACTGCCCCACCAGCCTGTCCCTGACTCTCCCATGCCCTCCGGCTGAAGTGCAGGCGCAGGTGTCCAGGGCGTGTCCTCGCTCTGGGCCACGCCTGTCTGCCTAGGGCTGCTCTGGGGCACGACTGCTGCCTGAGGCTTTTCAACCACACCTGACCTGGCCTGCCAGGGCTCTTTGGGCCTAGCCCCCTTCTTCTGAGCCTGTTTCCTCACCTGTACTTGAGGGTACACACACTCTGGGGCCATTACCCACCTGACCCTGAGAGATGCCAGCGGGGGTCTGCAAGCACCCCTGTGTGTATGGAGGGGGGGCCACAGGCAGGCAGTGGGGGGAGGTCCACATCAACGTCAGGCCACGTGTATGGGGGGGCACGGGCAGGCTGACAAGCCGTCCCTTGCACAGGTTCCCCCAAGCGGCACCACTTCCAGCGGCAGCGGGCAGCCAGCGAGAGCATGGAGCAGGAAGACCGGGACACGCCCCCCGCCGACTTCATCCAGTACATCGCCAGAGCAGGCGACGCCGCCGTGGCCTTCCCGACCCCCCGCCCCTTTCTGGCCAGCCCCACCAGCCCGCCCCCCGCTCTCGGCAGGTATTTTTCAGTAGATAGAGGTGCTAGGGGAGGGCCTGTGGGCCCCTGCCCCGCTGCGTCCCCTCCAGGGAGCGCTCTCCTGGCCCTGTGGACATGCGCAGGGCCCCTCCCAGAGGCTGAATCGCTGGGACCGCCTCTCCAGCATGGACCGGAGCAGGGAAGCAGGGAGAGACTGGGTAAGGGTAGTGGGGTGCGGGTGACCCTGGACAGTGGCCCCAGGGTCCCCAAGACAGGACAGGTGGGCAGGCAGGGCCACCGTGGGTGCGTGTCCTACCTGGTACTGCCACTTCCCAGTGGGATCCGAGGCCTAAAAGGCTCTACCGTGGTCCCAGATCCTCTCCCCCCGCCCATGCTCCTGAGGGCTGGACAGATGCTTCTCAGAAACCGATGTGACCACTTTGGCCAGCAGTACCCACTCCCACAACCCTGACGTCCATGGCCCACATCAGTGGGATGGGGGACGGGACCCAGGGAGCACAGCAGGGCCACTTCTTGGGCAGCTCCTGGTCTGAGTGGGTAACCCTGACTTTTGCGTGTCACCCTCCTGGTCCTCATCTATGATGAGTGGGTGAAAGGACTTACCCGGGAGTAAGGGCTGAGCTGGAGTCGACCTGGTCGGGTCCATCTCCTGCGACCCGCGCATGCACTAACGGGCTAGGAAGACTGTGACCCCAGCGGACAGTGTTAACTTCTCGGGGCCTTTCGGGGGAGGAGCCAGCCCTCTGCCCTTGCATCAGGTGTTTGGGGTGGAAAAGGAGAGGTTGATCCAGAAGGCGTCCCCTGCGGTGGGTCCAGCACCCGTTTAGGGCCCGCACCTCCCCGGGCCTGGTCGAGTCCTCCGTACCCACCCTCCCCGACCCAGAGGCGGGATGGCGGGCGGGAAGGGGGCGCGGGGCTCGGCGGTCTCTGACGGCCGCGGCCTGGCTTGCAGGCT